GTTCAAGGCCTGCCTGGGTTATATAGTGAATTCTAAGCTAGAATGAGATCTTGTCTCCAATAAACAAACAAAATAAATATATTTGGAGTAGACAAAGATCTCTTTTAAAAGGCCACAGATGACATACCGAAGGTTAGTTAAAAATATATGAACATATTTATAAATAGACTTAAAACAGAAATCTATGCCAAGAGTGGTGGCACATGACTTTGATCCCAGCCCTCAGGAAGCAGAAGCAGGCAGATTTCTGAGTTCGAAGCCAGCCTGGGTCTACAGTGCAAGTTCCAGGACACTCAGGGCTACACAGAGAAACCCTGTCTTGAAAAAAAAAAAAAAAAAAAAAAAAAGGTACTGACAACAATGTAGAAAAAGAGAAAGCAGCCATTTCAAATTCCTTTCTGTATGTAGTATAAAGATACCTATTTTCCCCTCAGTACAGGGGATAGAACCTAGGATCTCATGTATGCTAATCAAGGTCATTAGCACTGAACTCCATCCCCAGGCTGAAGACACCTTTGGAATGCCCACCAAGCCTGTCACAAGCCTGTTGTCAGATGTCACATTACAAAACAAACTTTTAATATCCTCCCAACAAACTGTATTTCCCAGTCTTTCTTATGTCAGTAACTGGTTTATGTTCAAAATTTCATGAGTCTAGGGGACATGGCTCAATGGACGAGCGAAAGCACTTACTGTGCAAGCATGGGGATCTGAGAAAAGGCTGCGTCCCTACAGGGGTACGGGAGGGCTGCTGGGGCTTGCTGGCCACTAGCCTGGCTCGGGGTTCAGTTGGAGAGCCTATCTCAAGGGAACAAGGAGAGAAACAGCAGGACGCCTGCGTACCCATGCTATCCTCATACGCACACATAATCTCAGGAGTTACCCTTGACTCGGTTTTCTCTTATAACCCATACCCCAAGTAGTAGATCCTGTTGGCTTTATCGCCAAACCTTATCTAAAATGCATCGTACCTCTTCCTCCTCTTCTACCGATCTGGATTATTGCAACAGTCTTTCATTGGTCTTCCTGCTTTCACTCTTGTTCCCTACATTCACAAGCAGCCAGTAATCCCTTTAAGAACCCTCTCAGCTCTAAGATCTCCCATTTCACTCAGATAAACGCCCGAGTGTTTTCCACCGACACCAACTTCCTAAACGAGTTGTGACTCCCATACACACCTCATCCCATACACACCTCATCCCATTCACACCTCATCAGCAAGCATGCCTTGACTCCACTCTTCCTGTTTCCAGATTTCCTAAGATATTTCATGGCTGTCCCCTGCCCTAATTCAACTCCTTGCTCAAACTCACTGTGGTGGGACTTTTTCCCCCCTCTGTTTAAAATAGCAATTGTGCCTCTCTTGTTACCATTTGTTTTTTGTTTTTGTTTTAATGGGTGACACAAGATCTCACAATCGTAGCCCCAAATGGCCTGGAACTTACTTTAACTCAGGCTGGCTTCAAATTCTCCCTGCCTCCTCAGAGCTGGGATTAGAGAACATGTCACCATGCTCAGCTCCCTGGCTGTACTTTTTAAAAATCTATTTACTTATTTGCATGAGTGTTTGACACTTTGAGCCTGTCTGGTACACACAAAGGCCAGAAGAGGTTGCGCATGAGATGATCCCCTGGAAATGGGAGTTGCAGGTGGTTAACCCTGATGTGGGTTCAGAAGCCAGGTAGGTCCTCTGCAAGCTCAGCAAGTTCTCTTCAGCGCTGAGCCATCTTTCCAGCTGCTCCCTGGCTACTTTTAAACCCTTCCAACCTCTGCTGTATTTTTCTTCAGGGTATTTTTCCATTATTGGGTACACTACTGTAAATATTTTACTTGCCAATTTCCCACCACTTGAACGTAACCTGAGAGCAGGGACTTTCAATGGTTCATCTGTTACCCACACCCTGCGCTCAGACCAATTTCTACCAACTGTAGGCTTTCAATATGTGTTCAACTAATAAATAACAAGCTACATCGCAAAGGCCTGTTGATAGATCTGCTCCCTCCATGGATGCGGCGCTTTCTGCAAAGGTCCATGACAGCACTCGCAGAGTCCCCAGCACCTGACACGAGTACTCCAAACATGGTTAAGCACCGACTTGAAATGAATGAACCAACACTAGAGCCCCGTGAAACCCACCTGCAGCCTATCACACTAAGTCCCCGTGTCTCTCAAAGTACGACCCAAAGTATGAGCTACCCCAAGGGAAAAGTGAAGTTTCAGTACCCATTCCCACGCCCTCACACACATCCTCTGAGTGTCCCCACCATAACCAGGGGAGACAATGAGTAACGGTCTGCATTTGAACCCCGCGATGACAAGTCCGCAGGAGGCAGCAGTTGTGACCCGATTTAAGATCCAAGACAGCGGCCCGACTCCAAACAGAAACACTGCCCTAGAAGAGACGGGTGACGCGGGGGGGAAGGCAGGGCCGCCAGGAACACAACCCTGGAGTCCTAACCTTTCTTTGACAGCTAAGGAATGGAGCCGGACGACCAAAGGCGCTCAGCGCCCACTTCCTCCGCTTTCGCGCCCCCGGGGTGGCACCCTGGCGGCCAGGTCCCCGAGAGCGCACGTGCGCCGAGGTCCCCGCCGCCTCCGCGCCCCGCTCACCTGGCCGGGTCCCGAGGGAACCTGAAGAAGGCCAGGTCCGACTGCGTGCTCTTCCGTGTGCAGTTGGGGGCTGCGCAGAAGTTCGGCATGGTCGCCCGGCCAGCGGCCGGTCCAGCCCTCCCCTCCCCGCCTCGTCAGGGCAGCACGGCCGCCCCGCGGGGCCGGGGAGGGGAGCTGGGCCGGCCGGCCGGCTCCACAAGGCCGCGCGCAGAGCATTATTTATTATTTTTAAGATTAATTTAATATAGTTTTTAATTTTTAAAAGGATTTTTACTTTAAATTATTTAATATTGATACTGTTTTATTTTAAGGGTTTAAATATTAATTTTACTTTAATATTTCATTTATGTAATTTTAATTTCTTTTTATTTTATATTCTTTGGTGTTTTGCCTGCATGTACATCTGTGTGCGGATGTCAGAATCCCTGGAGTTGAAGTTACAGACAGGTGTGAGCTGCCATATGGGTGCTGGGAACTGACCCTGGTTCCTCTGGAAGAGCAGTCAGTGCTATTAACTACTGAGCCATCTCTTCAGTCCCAATATTTTATTTTTAAACACCTATTATTGTTATTACTTTTAATTATGTGTATGTGCATGTTTGCTTGGTTTGTGTGTCTCTTCACGTGAAATGCTGATGATCACGGAGGCCAGGGGCATTGGAGCTGGAGTTACCTGTGGTTGTGAGCCATCAAAGGTGGGTGCTAGGAACCAAACTCAGGTCATCTGCATGAACAATATATGCTATTAACTCTGGTGCCATCTCCCCAGCCCCTTACAATACTGTAAATAAGCAAAAATTACAGAAAATGGTATAAGCAACTCTCACATATCCACATCTAGACTTAAAAATTCAAATCATACTTGCTTTCAGTAACCTTAAAGATGAAATACAATAAGATATAACATTCTAATTACATTTTAATTTAATTTGCTCCCTCACTGTCTCTATCTGATCTCCCATTAAAGATTACAACTTGTCTCA